TGTATAAGAAAAGTAAGAAAAACATCAAACCACAAGAGCCAAAATTCTGTGAGCAGGTGCTAGCAGCCTCTAGGACTGACGGCCTTCAAATACCAAATTCAGTCACCTTTATTGAGCAAGAACCAAGGACTTGGCTAGGACAAATGGGCGGATACCAAACATATTAGCAAGAATAATTAAAGGATCACCCAAGACATGCCTACAATCCCAGCATTCAGGAGGCTGAGACAGGAGGATCTTAAACTCAAGGTTAATCCAGAATGTATAATAAAGCCTCATCTTAAGAAACTCTAACAAACAAATCATTGTGTCCTCAATGCATTCTAATCAAATAATGTCCTTCTCCACACCAGACACTGCACAGGCCCTGGAGATTGGTGGGCACTGGCCCTGCCGGGGGAGCCAGGCCGGCACATGGGAGGTGGTTCCAGGAGGGTGAAGGTGGCCCAAGAGGCCACAGAGCACACAACTCTGTGATACACACATCTTTGCTTCTTTTCCCCCACAGGCTATTTGGTCTTTGAGAATAGCATTGCATACTTCTTTGGATCCCTTCAAGTAAAGTGATCATATTTCCTGAATCATAATTAAGGACAGGTGGACTGCATGTCTGAATTTTTTTTTTTTCCCCCAGTACCAGGAATTGAACTCACGACCTTGCGCTTTCCAGGCAGGCACTGTGCCCCTGAGCTAAATCCCCAGCCCTGAATTTTTTTTCTTTTTCTTTCTTTTTTTTGTCTTTTTGAGACAGGGTCTCGCAACGATCCTCGTGCCTCAGCCTCCCGAGTGCTAGGATTACAGGTGCGCACTACTATGTCCAGCTTTTTTTTTCTTTTTGAGACAGGGTTTTGCTATGTAGTTCAGGCTGGCCTTGAACTCACTTTGTGGCTCTGGCTGGCCTCAAACTCACGGCAATGGCAATGCTCCTGCCTCAGCCTCGTGAGTGCAGGGTTTACAGGAGTGTGCCACTGTGCCTGACCCTAATTAATACTCTTAGATTTTTTTGAGATAGGGTCTCACTCTGTAGTCCAGGCTGGCCTTGAACTCTCTACTGGTAGGTAACACAGGGGACCTTAAATTTGAGGTGATCCTCCTACCTCAGCCTCCTGACTGCTGGGATTACAGGTGTGCACCACCACACTTGGCTTGAATATTTTTATGGAGACAGAAAATATTTGAAGTCTGCTCTGAGTTGGAAAATTCTGGAATAAATTTTCTGTTCCCATAGTATATAGTAAAGCCAGGGGATAAAGATCTGTTGAGTGACTGTATTAGCAAATGAATGCATAAGCATCTGTGACTTTGGTGACTTCCAAATTCAGCTAGGTGTGGTGGTGCATGCCTGTAATCCCAGCACTCAGGAGGCTGAGGTAGGAAGATTGCTGTGAGTTCAAGACCAGCACGGACTGCATAGTGAGACCCAGTATCAAGAAGACAAAAAAAAAGGCTCCAAATCCTCTAAGGTCAGAGCATCAGCAATGCCTCCCATGGCAGTGACTGGCAGGGCTGTGGCAGGGGAACAGCTCAGTGTCTGTTGTCCAGGAGGAGACCCGCATCTCCGCTCTGACCAGGCTGGGGTCAGCAGGTGTCGCTTTAGAGAAAGCAGGAATCCTGCTGGGACAAGGGTCCTCTGCAGCGAGAGGACCGTGGAGAGGGCGGGCCCTCCTGGAAGGGGGCAGCATGGAGGAGGTTTTGCAGGCCAGGAACAGTAAGTGCACTGGGCTTGAAAAGGTGGCAGAGTCTTCTGGGATGGCCTTCTGCACGAGCTTGGCCAGTGCCCTCCGGAGACACCCTGAAGCTAGAGTGGGAGCTGCTTTCGATCAGATCTCAGCCTCTCTGTCCGTCTCCCTCTCCCCGAAAATGATGAAGTGACGTACACTCTGGGATTAGTGTCCGGCCTCCCACTCAGGGCCTTGGGGGCAGCCGGCTGCCAGCCGCACAGCAGGAGAGGAGGGACCAGCCATGAGTAGGAGAGGCAGCGCCCCTCCTGCCACACTGTCGCCGTGTCCCAGATGGTGAAGGGCAGTGTTTGAACAGGTACCTCCGCCCACAGGCCCTGCGTCCTCAGCAGTCCAGGAGAGCACAGCGGGAGGGATGCCCAGAAAGTGGGGGACGGAAGCGAGGAGCGGATTGCGTCCTGTTAGCCACTTCTGACAGTTAACCCAAAACATCGGGAGGATGGCGGCTACCTGCCCTCTTCCTGCTTCCCTTGGTCCTAGTCCAGTAACCCTCCGGGTCTCCCTCCCAAAGATGGTCTTGCCGGACGGCTCCGCATCCCTGAGTGAGCTCTGAGTCTCTCTCTTGTTTTCAGGTAGGGTCTTGCTGTGCAGCCCAAGCTGGCCTTGAACCCAAAATGCTCCTGCCTCAGTCTCCTGCGTTCTGGGATTCCAGGCCCCTGCCACTGTGCCTAGCAATCCTGAGGCTCATTACAGAACCATCCTGTCATTTCCCTTTTTTTTTTGTCTTTTTGAGACAGGGTCTGGCTATGCAGTTCAGGCTGGCCTTGAGCTCACTGTGTAGCCCAGGCTGGTCTCAAACTCGCAACGATCCTCTTGCCTCAGACTCCCGAGTGCTGGGATTACAGGTGTGCACCACCATGCCTGGCTCCCTTTGCATTTGACTCAGCACAAGAAGTCTTTGTTACCCGGTTTTAGGGACTCTGTCTCCTGCCTTCACCTCATGACTCAGCCTGGTGCTGTCCCCCTTTGGGTAGTGATGATGAGAATGATGGTGAGTTTTTCTTCTGCAGTACTGGGGATTGAACCCAAGGGCCTCAGACATGCTAGGCAAGCACTCTATCACGGATCTACGTCTCCAGCCCTCCTCCTCCTTCTCTCCTCTTCTCTTCCTCCTGCCTTTTATTTTTTTGAGACAGGATCTCACTATGCAGTTCAGGCGGGCTTTGAACTCACTGTGTAGACAAGGCTGGCCTTGAACTCATGGCAGTCCTCCTGCCTCAGCCTCCAAGTGCTGGGACTACCGGTGTGCAACTTCACACCTGGCCAGTGCTTGGTTCTTTTTCCCAGTTGATTTGCAGGCTCTCAGGACGGTGCAGAGAGTAGGCACTTAACACTTCAGGACCCCATGGAAAGAATGGGAAGTAGTTGTTTGAATGCACAAGCCCCTGGGTCAGCCTGAAGGTACAGAGACCACAAGATTTTAGGAATCCCATACCGGAAGGTGCCTGGCAAGCAAGGACTTGACTAAGATAAAATGCTTGGGGACCCAGTTTCAGGTCATTTAATTATGACGACCACTGATTTAATTTCCATTTAAAATTTTATTACATGAAAAGAAAAACAAGACCTCCACAAAACAAATGAACAAAATTCTAAATCCTAAACCAACTTTATGACAAGATTACTGTCAAGGACCTAATTCCACTCCCCAAAACAACCTTCCATTAAAAAAAAAAGTTCAAAAGAAATAGAAATAACAGCTTTGAAAATATTTATCCAAAAAGTAAGGCATCTGCTTTACAAAAAAAATAACTGAAAGGGGAAGAGGCTGGAGGAATGAGAAGAGGGGAGGAGGAGGATGGTCCCCTGGTCCTCTGGGGCCCACTCCAGCCTGGCTGGTGTCTGCTCTGAGGGGCCGCAAGTCAGCCCAACCCAGCATCTTACCAGCCCGGGGTCGGTCGAGCCAGGTGGGAAGCTGGGAGACGCTATCTGGGCCAGGAGGGGCTCCCTGGCTGTTCCAGTTTAAGTAGATGGCGGTGGAGGGATAAAAGGGCCCTGTGTCCTCAGCACAGCGGGTGTGGCTGGAGAGGCTACAGGGCCACAAATGCTATCACCTTCCTTTAGAGCACAGGAAGAGGCCAGAATCCCACATACCACAGAGGGGGCACCATTCTGCCACTGCCCTCCTGTCCTACCCAAGGCGGAGGGTGGTGAGACCCGAGGGAGAGGGATCACGTGAGGGCTAGCAGTGGAGAGAGGAACAGGCCTCGGAAATGCTCCCGGGCTGCCCCCGAGGCTGTGGACCGGACACACTGGGGGGAGCAGGAAAGCACCCTTTCTCCCAGGGAAGGCATTTAATACCACGTCTGTCCTGAGGGCTAGAAATCAGGGGCTATTTTTAGGTCCAGTTCTTGGATGGAAGGTGGCTTAAGGCCGGTTTGGCTCTGGTTTCAGGGCTGGAGGGCTGGGGCACCCTTCACACCTGGTCCCTGAGCCACAGTCAAGGGAGGAGGAAAGGGCATGACGGGAGCGGCCGGCAGTGCTGGCTCCAGGTGGGTGTGGGGGGTGCAGAAGCAGGGTAACAGGGTCACCATCCCTTCCCACGGGGTGCGGATGGGGGAGGAGAGGAGTGGTGCTGTCGTTGGGAGACAGAGCAACATCCACTACACTGAGAGGAAGAAGGCTTTCTGGCTTCCGGATGCTTTGGCACCACGCCGAGGGGGGCAGGATGCAGAGCCAGGGGCAGGGCTGGTTGCTGCAATCTAAGCCTTTCTGCAGGCCTGGCTCGGGGCGGGGGCTGTTGTCGTCCTTTCCCGAGGTGTCCTGAAGGGAGCCTTTCTCCAGCAGGGAGCCCAGGGCGGGTGGCGGTGGTGTGCAGGTGGTGGCACAGGGTGGGGAAGAGTGCAGAGGGAAGCAGCCCCCCTATTTTTGGGTCCGTGGTGAAGAAAGAGGGTTTGGGTCTCTCCCTCTGACCTTCAGTGGCGATAGAGTCCTTGGAATCTGTCTTCCCCAACCAGCTCAGGGTGGCTCCCTCTTCTCTCCGAACTGAGGCCCCTTTGGGCTCCGGAACAGGGAGGGAAGGCAGTAGTGAGCTCAGCTTCCTAGAGGCACTGAGGGTGGGGCTGCAGGGCACCCTTGGCACCTCACTCTCCTCTAATGCTTGGAGTGTGGGCAGCCCTGGTGTGGGGGCTTGGCCATGGCCCGGGGAGAGGCTGGTTCTTTGGGTACAGATGTCAGGATTTTTGTGTATAACTGCTCACCCCCTACACCCAGGTCCTGCTCCTGCTGGGCAGAAGCAGGGGGCGTGTGTGCGTGTGTGTGTGCGTGTGTGTGTGTGTGTGCACGCGCGTGCTGGGGGTCCCAGGCAAGCAGGAGGGAAGGGAGGAAGGAGGGTGTGGCTTGCTGAGGGGTGGGCGGGCCTCAGGCCTGCAGCTGCTCCTCTGAGTCTTGGTCCTTGCAAGGAGCCGGCTGGTAGAAGGACGGCTGCTGCTCCGCCACGTCCTCTCTCAACCCCTGTGTCCCCACATCCCCGTCCTCCACTGGGTACACAACCACACACATCTTCTGGCTCACCAAGGTCAGCACCTCTGTGGAAAAACACCACACAGAAAGGGTCAGGGTCCAGTGTCCCGCTGGCCCCGTCAAGCAGCCATGAGCTTAACCAGATCTGCCCCAGGTTCCATCTCAGCGGTGCAGCCCAGGCCTGCCTGAGATCCAATTCTGGGAGATGGCAGCCGTGTCTGTCTTGGGCATCTTTTGTCGACTGCCCTTTACTCACCAAGGCCCCGCCTCCTCCTTTCTCAGTGCCCACTGATGAATTCTGGGGTCCACACTGGCCTCCACCCAGCCCAGGGCAGCTCCTGGGGACGGCTGGCGGCTGCCTGTTTCAGGACTAAGGTCTGTGTGGAAAGGCAAGTTGTTCTCTCTCCAGTAGTCTCTGGGAAGGCAGCTGCCCTGTCTGGCCTGCCTCCTTCTCCAGCGCCCTGAGGACTCACGTAAGGCATGCCTACATGGGGCTCCTGATGCTGATCCTGATCCTGGTAGGGCCCCTCCAGGCTACTGCCTCCCTGCAGAGGAGGCCTGGACATCAGAGCCTTCATTAACTCACCAATGAAGTCATTGAAGCCCTTGGGCTTGTTTTGCCAATAAACACCCAGGAAATACACAGGTACTCCCGTCAACATGATGGCCAGGCCAATGCCGCACACCACCGGCTCTGACCACAGGCTGAAGATCAGCAAGAAGGCCCAGAACAGCAAGTAGATGATGGGGAACAGCAGGTTGATCTGTGGAACAGAGGCAATGTGAGCTGTGTGGCTGGCCCGGGTGTAAGGCTCCCTCAAAGGCTAGGCTTCACTCGGCTGTATCCCATACCCCCGGCTCTGATAAGGCAGTTTCTGATAAGGCAGGTGAAGTGTCAGCAAATGATGGGGAATTTGGACAGTGGGCCGGGAAGGAGATGGACACGGAGGAGGAAATGCTCCTCATTGCTCATGTCCTCTCTCCCAGGGGGGGTCAGATAAGGCCTCAGCATCCATGCCCAGTGCCTGTGGCAGCCAGAGAAGCCATGAGGATGGAGAGCTTAGTACATCCTTGATGAAGCCCTAAATGACCTGGGTCTGGTTCCCACCCATTTCTAGGCAGGGCCTTCATCTGGGCACACGTGGCAAATGCCCATCCCTCTCACCAGCATCAGCTCCAATTTGTTTCTCTCAAGCATCTTGAGGAGATAAACATGCCAAGAATCAGCCAGCATGGCCTATAAAGCAGGGTGGGCCCTGACTTTATTTCAGAAAGCAGCACCAACTCCTTGGGCTTTCCCTGTCCTTGCTGGCCACATGTGGGGGGTCCCTAGACAGCCCTCTTCTGGACTCTAGGGGCTGCCTTCTCCTCCCTCCATCCCTCCAAGAGAGGGATGAGGTTAGTCTTCATCTTCCCTTGAAGGTTTTTCCTCTTCCTTTCTTTTTTTTTTTTTTCCCTCCAGTACCGGAAATCAAATTCACGACCTTGCGCTTGCCAGGCAGGGGCTGTGCCGCTGGGCTAAATCCCCAGCCCACTCCCCTTCCTTTCTTTTGAAATTATCTTTCTTAAGTGGGCATGGTGGCGCATGCCTGTAATCCCAGGGAGGATGGAGGATGGGAGGCTGAGGCAGGAGGATCGTTGCAAGTTCGAGACCAGCCTAGGCTACAAAGTGAGTGCAAAGCCAGCCTGAACTGCATAGTGAAACCCTGTCTCAAAAAGACAAAAAAAAAAAAAAAGAAATTATCTTTCTTTCTGTAGCACTGGGGCTTGAGCCCTGGGCCTTGTTCATGCTAGGTAAGTGCTGTGCCATGAACTACATCCCTAGTGCTTTTAAAATTTTAGGAAGGTAGACTTCATAGAGATGGGGAGGGAATCTAGGGATTGGGGGTTGTGGCAGAGAAGAGAGGAGGGGAAGGGGAATGAAAAGGGTGATGAGTATACTCATCATGAATCAAAAACATGATAATTATTTTTTCAACTTTGAGACAGGATCTTGCTAATTGTTCCAGCTGGGGTCAAATTTGCAATACTCTTGCCTCAGTCTCCCAGAGGTGTGTATCACAGTAGCCAGTGACTTTTTTTTTTTAAGGTACTGGGGATAAAACACAGTGCCTTTCATAAGCTACATCCCTAGCCCCCCTCCTTTTAAAATTTTGACACAAAGTCTTGCTAAATTGCTAAATTATCCAGGCTGGACTCAAACTTGTAGTCCTCCTGCTACAGCCTGTAATCCTGTCAGGATTACAGGTATGCCACCACCATGCCCAGCTCTCTCAGGTGTTCTGGGTGGAAGAAAAGTAGTAGTGAAAATAATAGTGGAGAGCTGAGAGATCTGGAGAGCCCTTGATTTCTCAGCTGGAAGAATCTTCTTGTAGTCTCAAGTCTCTGTCTAGGAATGCTCTGGCCTACATCATCCTTCTGTTTTGCAGGAGAACTCAGCATTATAGCACATCTTGTTCTGAACAATCCCACCAGTTCCTATCCTAATAGATTATTTTTGTAGCAAATGCTTAAATTTACTAAGCACAGTAGTATATGTAGGGTCATAGGCTTTTAAAAAGGGAGGCTGGGCATGTGGCTCCGGGATACAGCGCTTGCCCAGTGCAAGCTAGGCTCTGGCTTTGCTCTTCAGCAGCGATCCAAAAAAATATAAAAAAAAGAAAGAAGAAAGAGAAAGAAAAAGGTCTCTAGAGAGCTGGAAAGCTTCAAAAAAGAGGAGCTACTTGAGGCCCATTTAGAAAATGGTTAGAATATATTTATTGTTTTTGAGGCAGTGATCACTTTGCTGCACCGGCTGGGATTGAATATGGGCTCAAATGATCCGACATCAACCCCTCAGGTAGCTGGGACTGCAGGCTGCCACCTCACCTCAAATGGGTAGAACCTAAACAGGCAGAGGAGAGGATGGGGCCATCCACCTATCTGGAAGAATGGGGAGGAAACGCTGGAGGGATGGGAGAGCCCTGAAAATGCAGCTGGAGTTGAAGACTTGAGTGGTGGGAATCACTGGGATGCAGTTTTGAAAGCAACATGGAGCCTACTTATTATTTCCCTGCTGCCACTTACCCTGGCCCTGTCTCCAGGGGAGGATCAGCTAGAATCAAATAAAGATAACACCAGCTCCCCAAAGAGGCTCTCTCACCTTGATGGGGCGAGGGATGTCAGGCTTCTTCCAGCGAAGGACTATCTGTCCAGCAACCGTGACCCCGTAGAAGAGGTAGTTGATGAAGCCCACGTAGTTGATAAGTGTGTACATGTCGCTGGTGACCAGCATCAGCAGGGTGGAGATGCACTGGGGAAATGAGAGGCTCATTAGTGATCACAAAGGTATCAAGAGGCTGGGGGAGGTTCCCAGGTCAGGGACCGTGCCCCTACCCAGGCAGCCATGCCGTTTTATAATAGATGTCTCATGGCGGAGACTGTATAATCATGAGGAGCCCAGGCTGCTACCACACCTCCACTGCTAGGATGTTCTTTCTCACTGCAAAGGTGTAATCAGTGGATTTAAGCCTGATATGGCATGGGACTAACCACTCAGGAGGGACACCTGGACTGGGCACCCTGGTGTCACCTGGCTCTGGGTCGGTCCTGTTCTCATTTATATAGCTCCCTTAGTTACAGCTAAAGCTAATTTTTTTAAAAAAATCCCTTTGAGAAGATTATTAACTGCAAATTAAGGCTTTGTTTTTGCCCTCATCCTTTTCCCCTGGCTGAGTCATCTCATTTATTCTCCTTTTCTTCTTTAGAAAAAAATTATCAACAGCTGCACAGCCAGGTCCTATTCTTAGCATTGTGCAAATATTAACACACTTAACCCCCATAACGTCCCTGGGAGGTTTTCTGGATGGAGGTCACTTTCCAACTTCAAAGTTATCTCTATGACTCTCTTAGAGCAGGCCGTGCTGTTCCCTCCGGTAGCCTGTGGAGGCCAGTCAAAGGGTCAGTTCTCCTAGATCTGATGGTGGAAGAAGATGTCAGTGGGTGGACAGGACTGACTCCTGCTGCAGCCACTTTCCAGCCACAGAAGGCTCCGTTGAAGAAAAGCCGTGCAGTCCAGAGGGAACACAGCCTTCTGCAGATCCCTCCACAGAGGGATCAAGATGACCTTCAGCCTGGCCTGAACGTTCTGGTATTTTCCAATGGTGTACAGTGCCCTCGGCTCCCCCAGCTCTGATGCCCTGATTTCTGACCACTTCTTTGGTGGACCAAAGCCATTTTTAATGTTTTATTCAGGACCCAGAAGGAAAAGCAGAATAACTCAGAAGGCTCCCCGGGGACACGCCTTTGCCCTTTCCTTTAGCTCTCCTTAAATGATTCTGTGCCAGGGACATTTTGCCCCCATTGCGTCCCCAGAGAAAATTTCTTTCTCTCTACCTTCAGTTTGTCTCTTTAGGATATTTCTTATTTGCTATACCCTTAATGCTGGATTTATTTCAGTGACATTTCTCAGGAGACTGGCACAGTGCCCCAGGGCAAGAAATTAGAGGAGGGAAGGGGATACTCAGTGAACACCCAGGAGCCGAGGCCCAGAGCTTGCCCCACCACCGTGGTTATGCATGCCAGGAAGCGGGGGTGGCTGTGTCTTTATGAGGGCAGTCACTTCAGTCTGCCCCCAAGGGTGGGAGAATGAGAATAAGCCAGGCTGAGAGTTTCAGGTATTTTGGACTCAGGGTCCTTCCTTATATCCCTTGATATTAAGTCAGGGAATCCATCTGTACAATCACCTAAGGCCTAGGAAAAGCAGGGGCCGACCAGAAGAGTGACAGGGCATGCATAGAAAGTGTGAAGTCCCAGTTGAGTATAAAGAGAGGGAAGGGCGAGTGGGGCCTGCAGCAGGAGGGCCCTTACCGTAAAGAGCAGGGCTGGGATTGGTGTGCAGCGCTTCACGTGGATCATGGCCAGCACGCTGGGAAGGTGGCCTTCTCTGGCTCCAGCAAAGAACAGCCTGGAGAGGTGGGGAAAAAGCAGGGCAGCTGGGAACAGCCCACAAACCACCAAGTCAGGCCCCTCCTCCCCACCCACCTTCCATCCACACGGCAGCACCCCTCCTCCTACCAGCACCCACCTTTGCGTGCCCACCTCGCAGCCACTAGTCCTGATGCGGGTGCAGGCAAACCAGAGGCGCCCACTGATAGGTGGGGAGACCTGGCGTGTAGCTTGGCTGGTTCAGGGCACTGTGCTGTGTCACGCCCAGTGTCTGAAAGGCTGTAGGGACAGCCCTGTCCTGGAGCCTTCACCCTTTAAAAACGTGCCTCTCTACCCTCCAGGGGTGCACACTCCCTGAAGCCCTGGAGTGAGCGATGCATGGAAAGCTCTGAACAGGTTTCTCGTGGTACTCAGAGGTTAGGCGCAGGGGTGTGTGTGTGTGTGTGTGTATTCGTGTGTGGGCAGGTGGGAACCTGGGGGAGAGGTGGAGATGTTCTGGGTGGCAGTTACATGGCTCCCTGTAATTGTCATCAAATCGAACACTGTGATCTATTCATCTTATTGTGTGTAAACAGTACTTCAAAAGTACCCCTTCAGAGATACTTACTCTATTCCCAAGAAGCCAACCCAAAGAAATCAATAGTTGGTGAAAGGTATATACAGAGATGGTAAGAAAAAATGGAAAATATCCTAAATGCTTAGAAGGATGAGACTGATTATAAGAATTATGATCTACTCACAGACAGGAAATGATGAAGTCATAATTATGTTTTTGAAAAGAACTGATGGGAACATGCTCACAGCAGAACATTAAATGAGGAATCAGGATAGAAACTGCGATGCTAGTTAATCGAAACATGTTTGTAGCTTGTAAAAAAACACACTAAAATGCCCCACTGAAATCTTTTGTGGTGGGGTTATGAGAAACTTTACTTTATAGAAAAATAATTATTTTGTGTGCTGGGGATCGATTCCAGGGTCTTGTGCACATGATATATGAGTTCTACCACCAAACTATAACCCAGCCCCTAAAATAGGACATTTAAAACCAGGAAAATTATTTTTAAACTTTTAAAAAAAATTGAATTTTTTATTTTGAGAAAAACACTCATACATCTTTGTAAAAAAATATTACAGGGAGAGCGTATATAGCCTTACTCTCCTCTATCAGCACACTGCAAAGTTACAGTATAATATCATAACTAGGATATTGATATTTAAAACTTTTGTTGTTGTCGTCAGGTGTGGTGGCTCACATCTCCGGGAGACTGAGGCAAGAGGATGGCAAGTTTGAGTCCAGCCTGGGCAATTCTGCAATTTAGCAAGACCTTCTTTCTCTCTCTCAAAAAAAAAAAAAAAATTAGAAAGGCTGAGATAGGGTCTTGCCATGTAGTCCCTGACTGGTCTTGAATTCACATGTAGCGCAGGTTGGCCTCAAACTTTCAATCCTTCTGCCCTAGCCTCCCTGAAAGTGTTGTTTCAGTGCTAGGATTATAGGTGTGTGCCGTGATGCCCAGCTCTAAATGTTATTTTTAAAAAGAGCAATTAGCTGGGCATGATGGTGCACACCTGTAATTCCAGCACTTGCGAAGCTGAGGCAGGATCACCACAAGTTCAAGGTTAGCCTGATCTATATAGTTGAGACTCTGTCTCAAAAACAGAGAGAGAGAGAGAGAGAGA